AGACCATAGAACATCTACAGATGTTACAAATAACCACACCATGAAGAAACTTTAAAATGCAGTGATACTTTATAATCTTCTCATGTTTTTGGTCATTTTTATTAGCCTTCTTTGGGAGAAAAATAAAGATTGAATAATGGTTCTTTATTTGAAACAAAACAGAACATAAATATATTTCTGAAGCACATATTTTAATTTTAATATCCTAGAACAAAAAATTGAAATGAGAGAATGCCAGAATGTTGTAACTATTGCTTTGAAACTGAGCATTAATTGTTGCAAAATTTATCTGCATTCTTTTTCATTAACTAAAAATTAATCCATTATCAATATACAAAATTACTATTAATTTTTCATTACTATGTAATGATTTGGTAATTATAAAGTAAGAGTGTTTATCATTGACAGCAAATATCAATATTTGGTATTTTATCAGTTTTGATATATTGATATTTTAAATTTTAAAATGCTAATATTGATATTGTAAAAGTTTATTGGTTCTGGTTGATATATCAGTTACAGCATAGCATTAGTTATTTCTTGCACATGCATCATACCACATACACTATACAAAAGTCTAGAAACATTAGGGCTTAACAGCAGATACATTACAGAAAAAAACCATACTAAACATATGTCAGACAGGAACTACTTAAATACNCCCATACACTATACAAAAGTCTAGAAACATTAGGGCTTAACAGCAGATACATTACAGAAAAAAACCATACTAAACATATGTCAGACAGGAACTACTTAAATACAGATACATACATGAACAGCACATAAACAAGATAATTTGCATAGTTATTTTCATTATTGAATTTGTACAATTTGCATAGGTTTAACTTTTCTGTATTGTTGAACAATGTTGTTAACTACATTTGTATGTGGGGAACATATCAGAGAAATGGAGGCTATTGAATTTTCAAGGCAACCAAGGAAGGTAATTGCATTAATAACAAGGAAGAAAGAATTATCTTGAAAGCATGACAAGCATGTTTTGATACTACCTTATAAACTGTATATCAAGGCATTCTGTAATGTGCGTGACAGCAAAAAATAAAAATTTATACAATTCAAAACAAACATTAAATGAGCATTCCAATATTCAAATTCCTGATGATCTTCAGAATAGGTAAAAAATGTTAGAAATGTTTTGATACAACTGGACTATTTTGACAGGTTAGGTAAAATTTTTTGCTTATATGTCTAAGAGCCTTAATTGAATTCCAGCAAGATTTAATTTGAAATAAAACTTTTGGACTAGCATTTTCAATCTATAAATGGAGATCATATTCAGGTTCATAAATTCAATGATGGAGTGCTTGAATAGAACAAAGATGTTTTTTAAAAATTAAATGAAATAATTCTCGAATATATAAAAATAAATATAAAAGTAAATAGAGGAAGATTCCAAAAACAAAATAAAAAGGAAAAACTCAAAATTATATAAAAAAGACATACACAGTACCATCTTAGAATATAATAGAATATAGCAAGTCTAAAAGAGAGCAAATTAACTTTTAGGTGCAATCCTACCATCTTTAACAGCTTTAGGAACAGAAAGGATAGGACTAACATGCTTAGAGTACTGTGGTCTATAAAATTCTTTGGAAGGATGACTGATTTGACTAGGAACTTGAATACAACCCCTGAACAAAAGTATGAAATATTTAGTAAATGTTGTGAAAAAATTATTTTGATCCTAAAATCAATAATATTTTTGTGAATTTGATTAACTTTTTACAATTGGCAAATATAATAGACATATTGAAGTGTTTACTCACCAAACACAGTAACGATATTTGCATAAATTACAAAGTTACAGCATTTTAAACAAAGTAAGAGTTGAATGAAAGTATGGAATGCTGATGATTAATATTGTGTAGGTCTTCTTTTGCCCTAATTACAGCCTTAATTTTTTATGATATTGTAGAAATAAGTTCTTTACATATTTCTGGATCAACCTCTGACCATGATTTTTTGACTGTCATCTTTAATTTTTTTATGGCTGTAGCTCTTTCTTTGAAACTGTTCTCTTCAGAACATTCCAAACATTTTCAACAGGAGATTATCTTGACTGTTGGCAGGCTATTCTGTATGTTAGGTTCTTGAATCCATTGTTTAGTTTGTCTAGCCCTATGACATGATGCATTATCCCTCATAGATGAAATCCTCATCACCAGAAAGATCTTCAGATGTTTTAATGACCAAAGATTCTAATAAATTCAAATAACATCAGCATTCAATGTATTATTAAGTATTGCCATCTCATCAACCCCATTACAGGTTATACATTGCACATTTAGAAAATTTTGCTGATGAATTTAGGCTGCGTACACACTAGGCATTTTTAAATGCGTGTTTTAAAGAACCAAAAGTTCTACATAGGCGTACACTCAAAAGCGCGCTTTTGGCCAAGTTTATAGATTTTTCTTAAAGCGCACGCTTTTTGGGCACTTTAGTAGAACTCTTGGTTCTTTAAAACACGCGTTAAACGCGCATTTTTAAACGCCTAGTGTGTACGCAGCCTTAAACAGTCAAGATGAAATTTTTTATCTGATTTTCTATATACTGATGTACCCCATCCTTACCATAGCCAATACAAATTTTTGATTCATCTGTGAACATATCTTGTTGCCACTTATTAACAGTCTAGTCTTTGAGAATTTGGCCCATTTCAAATCATTTTTTTTGTTTTTTTTTTTGGGGGGGTTTTTTATAGGTTTAGTTTTAGTGGTAACTTTTTGTCTGCTAGCCTTCTCCTTACTGTCGTGTCCAATGCATTAAAACCTGTCTCATTAACACAGGTTGAAAATGTTTGGAATGTTATGGAGAGAATGGCATTACAACCATAGAAGAATTAAAGAGGACAGCCAAATAATCATGGTCAAAGGTTAATCCAGAACTATGTAAAAACTTATTTCTGCAATATCACAAAGAATAACAGCTGTAATTAGCAAAAAAGGTGGCTTTACACAATATTGACCATCAGTATTCCATACTTTTGTTTAACTCTTACTTTTAAAATGCTGTAACTTTGTGTAATTTATGCAAATATATTTAATGTTTGGTGTGTAAATACTTAAATATGTTTATTACATTTAGCAATTGTTAAAAGTTCAATAATATTTTTGTGAATTGGATTATTTCAGAATAAGAATAATTTTCCTACAACAATTATAAAATATTCCATACTTTTGGTCAGGGACTGTACATCAGTTTCACCACAGTGTTTCAAAATAAGACTAACTGAATACAAACATGTGTGGTGAGCACGTGGTGATGAATGAATTCTCACAAAGAGACAGGAATATAAAACAATAAAACATGCTTTATTTTACTGTATGAACATATATACAGGAAAGGTTCGTTGATTCCGACCTCCTTGTTCCTCACTTTAATTAAACAAAAGGAAACAAACAACACCGATTGTTGATTCACAGTGGAGCTAAACTTTTCTTTCGCGTAACAAAGGAGACACTTAATTACTAACTTAAAACTACTTATAACTAGAAGAGGAAAGAAAGAACAAGAATTAGAATAGAATGGGAGAACAAGAATGGAAATTTCTAGTAAGGAACGGGTACCCGAATGGTTGACTGAGGTGGTGGCCACAAGATGATTTCGTCTTGGAATTCCTTTCTTCTATGGGGACGGAGCACATGTGAGGACCCAAGGTTCGTCCTTTAGTCTCGGCTTTACCAATGTTCTTTTTTTCTTCCAATGCTATTTCTATCTTTAGTGTTCTTTGTAACCCTTCCGGCCGAAGCAACACCGAACTCGAGACCGCTCTCTCCGACGGTCTTTCCTCCTCCGGTCCAAAGCCAAAAGTGTCCTTATCGTCCCCCACTTGCCCTCTGGGCTATCTTCACCCCTTTGTCCCGAAATTGGGTCACTGACCACCCACATTCAGACGAAAGTTCCAGAAAGTATAGAAACAGAACAAAGAGAAAGGGGAATAGAATATTCTTATATATACATATATAAAATAAAAACAACAAAAATATACTGGTGTACAGTACCACCACACATGACAGACTAAAAGAAACACAATACTGCCCTAACTGCAGGCAACTGATAATGACAATGCACACCCTTTTCAACAAAGATTTCATCATCAAGAGATCAAAAAATTCTGACTCCATTAGGATACTTGAAGCATTGGAGATGTTTAAATCTGACAAAAAGAACCAGTGCATTAATTTTAAAGATGAACAACAAGTTTCTTATACATGGCATAAAATAGTTATGATTATGTGACCAACTGTGATATAACATCATGATGTAGGGACATTATAATGGAACGTTCTCATTTATATAATTTTGAATTTTTACTTTTTATTTTTGATACCTTGCTCTATTTACTTTTATATTTACTGTCATGTTTATATTTATTTTTATTTTTAAGTATTCAAGAATTATTTTATTTAATTTTTGAAAAAGTCATTATTCTTAATTCTTTTGCCTCTATGTCCTTACTTTATTAAATCTTTATTATATTGGGTACAGTGGACTTTGTGTTTTAATAAAAAGTGTAATAAGTCCTATTAATATACAAAATCTACTGTAGACAATATAATATAGAATTTAAGTCATTGTTTAATACATGCATTCTATCATTGAATATGCAGACCTGAAGATTTCCACCTAGCAATATAACCTATTAAATCACTAAAATAGGGTATATAGAGCTGATTGTAATAAATGACTCTACTGTATATACATCTTCTCATTTTTCATGTTTTCAGAGAAAAAAACTCAACTAAGTCAGACTTTTGTAAACTTAGACAACCTTTACTCTCTATTAGTCTGAGTTAGTGTGCATTTACTGTATTAGAAAATACTTTGAGCTATTTCCAAACAAGCATTAAATGTTGTAACTGATAAATTAAGATTAAAATTTACTCTGTACTAATTTATTGTAGTCAAAAAGTCTTTTATAATAATTAATTTTAACATTATTTTTTTAAAAAGTTGTTTTATTTCTTCTTTAGGAGTAACAGTTCATCAACAAATCCAAAGCCTATGCCTTTACACAGAGCTCATTTTGCATTTTCCTGTCCTATACTTCCTAGTCATACATCATTTATTACAAGGGCAACTCAAACTGATCCAATTGATTCAACTTTCAGCTCATTTAGGACTTCAAATGGTGAACATCTTTTTGAAAATCTCAGATCAAACAGTTATTGTAAAACTTTAAATAGAACAAATGCATTGAACACTGATAATAGAACTGTTGGAAATAGCATTCCTGATTACAAAGTGGCCTGTGCTGCTCAAAGTCTTAAAACATGTCTGCTTGCTGTGCCAAATGCAATTTGTTTCCAAGAAAGAATAGATTCACCAATCTCTCCTAGTTTCCCAAGAAACAGAAGTTTTAGTTTTGTAACTGCTATTAAAAAAGGGAATCCACATTTAATAGATGCAACAGATAGTTATTATTGTACAAATGTAGAAGAAAAATTTTCACAGTCTGCTACAGATTCTTTAACTAAAGATAATGTCCATTCTGAAGTGCCAAATATTTCTTATTGTAATTCATACAGTAATATTGGAAAAGAATATAGCCCACAAATAAAACCATGTCCAAATGAAGATAAGGAATATAATAGGTGAGAATATTGATTTTCTTTTATATCTTCTATAATAAAATACATGAGAGTCACTTTATAGCAACTCTTAATTTAGTAATGTGCCACAATATATTGACCAATAAGTAAGATTCTGAATGATCTCCCAAAAGTGTGAAGCTTGTTTACTATCAATATAATTTCTTTTCCCCTGTCTTTTTTTACCTTGTGACATCAAAGGAAACTAATGTTTATGAGCATGTGCCAACTGTGTCACCTCTTGATAGCTGATGTTTGTCGTCTTTGGAATGTTGAGAATGCCATCTAACCACTATTTTTGTGGTTTTCTTCTGGCTCTAAATCTACTGTCTTCTTGTGAAGGCAATATATTGTAAGATGTTCAATGCAAAAGGAGTTATAATAAAGCATGATATCCAAGGAACAACTTTTATTTCAGATTATTTACAGATACCAATCTTTATACATTTTCCAGGTTTCTCTGTGATAACAATACAAACAAATGAATTCTTTGCATAACTGATTCCGTTACAATTACCAATCCGATACTATTAACATACAATAATACGTATCCTATGATCGTGGATCAATTCTTAATCTACTTAAATACTAAATGAACGATAGATTTATTGATAGAAGGGAAAAGAAGAAGAATTGATAGGACAGGGGGTAACCAAATTCTCAGCAAATAACTTCGTGTGATTGCTCATTTCCAACTTCCACATCCTGATGGATGTTCTCTTCTGAACCCTTTCGTCTCTTCAAAAATATGATTTCTCTGAGGAAGATTTATCTCAAAGTCTGGCTTCTTATTTTCTCATAAGTCTCCTATTCTGAGGTCTGACTCACCAGCTCTGGTTGATCTTGAAAAACTCAGTCTTACTGGTACATGACTTGCTTCCTCCGTGTCTGGCCGAAGAATGTCCTCCTGAAACAAGGTTTTGCCCTCAGGGCTTCTTGTAGTCTATTGTTCCCACACCCTGTTGGGGAAGGGTTGGATCAGAATTTCTTAGAAGTATGGAAACAATAGAACAAAAAAAATGGACAGAGAGACAGGATTAAAAGAGATAAAATATGAAATTAAAATTATACAAAAAAAAATATGGCATACTGCCACAATATAACAAATCAACAATTGTCATTCTTAACAAGACAAATATGTAGAATTCTGTTATTGTAAATTAATCTTCAAGCTTTCCAAGTTTTGATTCTTTTTTTTACATTCCAATTCTAGTTTTCTTTTGTTTCATTTCTTTGATAGTTATCATTATCATTTTGTGATTTATATTTGTTAATTCATTTGGAATCACAGGCTTTCTTTGGTTTTGAGCTATAATGTAATCTGTTTGACTCTTAATATTTAAGTTGTGCTACCTTGTACCACATATGTATTTGAGAATTCCTGTGCTTGAAGAATGTATTAATTATGAAAAGATCATTGACACAAAGCTTTAATCTAACTTTTGATGATCTAATGTTGTTAACTTGTTTCTAACTGTTGACATTTGGTAGAATTAAATTGTTTGAATTATAAAAAAAATTTGTGTGTGTTTTAAATTTACAAAATTTAAGAAAATTCTTAAAGGAGACAATACATAAAAGTGTCTTCTCATTTGTCCTTTTGCACATGCACAAAGAAAATAACAGTTTTAAGTTGACCTTTCATTTGAGGCTACTTATCTTTCTCAATATGTAAAACATTAAAATAATAGAATAATTTTGTTACATATAAAAAAATACTAAAATTGCAAAGTTTAAATCTATGTTATGTAATTCCAGTGCCCAGTATCTTATCCACTTGGCTAATGCCATTACAAGGAGAAGTGAAACTAATAGACTTAAAAGCTTAACACTCAATTTTCAGAAGTGCTTGAGAAATGGGTCTTATTATTTGGACAAGGAGCTGTTTGGATTTAGGTCTACATGCTCACCAAGTTTCATTCAAATCAAGAGATCCAAACATCAGGCCCTCTCTTTACATGATTTGCAAACTTTGCAAAAAATGTCCCAATTTATGGCATGTATGATGTTTCTTATTATAAGCAATACATGAACCATGGTAGTATGTACTTCCACATCTCAAACATATGGATTTATGGTCATATGCATTGTTTCTATTTATCATTTGAACATTTTTAGGCTTTTTGCCTTTAAGTTCTTGCTTACATTTTACAGTTTTAGTAACTTGCTCTTCATAGTGATTAACTGATTTTGAGTTTGTTCACTTGCTCTGCATATTTTAACAGCTTTTGCCAGCATTAAATTTTCCTCAGCAAGGAGTTTTTTCTATCAACATCACTTAAGACATGAGTACTATTCTGTCTGTGACCAGGCTATCATACAAGGTACCAAATTTGTAAGTTTTACTCTTATTCAACAATGCAATTAAGAAATCATCAAACTTTTTGTTTTCATGTTGAACAATTTTGTTAAATACAAATTTTTCATATATGATGTTTACTTTGGCATGGAATAACCCATAAATACTCCTACTAATGTTTTCAAGGTATTCTTTTGTTCTTCTGAAAAAGTATTGAAAATACTGCTTCTTGGCCAATTTCAGACATAAATACAGCAATTTGTACCTTAGCTGGCTTCCTTTCTAGTTCTATAAGTATTGCATACTATAAAAACTGTTGTTATTGGTCTCTCCATGCTTTACTGGTGGTTTCACTTACTTGGGTTAACAGAACTGGCAGTCTTGGATTAATGTTTCTTTAACTAATGGTAACCTCCCAATCTTTGGTTATTTCAGAACCATTTTCCTTGGTTGACACCAAGTGATGTCTGCCATACTGTTATATCACTGGCAGTAATGAGTGATTCACTTATATAGAATTAAACATGCCAGAGTGTACAAAAAGCTGAATTTATATATTATATTATATAACATATTTATTTATGAACATGCCACAACTAAGAGCCATCTGGTTATATACATGACAAGAACTGATTTTTTCTTTTTTTTTTAAATTTTTGCACAACACAGGAAAAATTTCATACTTTCCATGCAAGAACTGTATTTTCACATCAGCAGAAAACAATAACACTAAATATTAAAATAACAGGATCACTGAATGTGAATCATTATCAACTTTATTTCATCTTTCTACAAAAATCTTATCTTGGATTTTTCACATTTCCAATGCCCTAAATAATTGAAGATCTCCAAACAGCAGTTAGGCTGAAAATTCTGAATATAGTGAATCTCTGTGAGTTTTTTATATATTACTGGGATAGCAGTTTTAAGGTACTCTGGTGCACTACTTAACGTGCAGTCAGGCTACAACTGTAATAATTTACATACTTGTCCAAGACATAGCTATATGTATTAATTATACAATTCTATTTGGATGTATAACTGTTTATCAATGAGTGTATTAATAGTAGTATTAATGTTTTGAATTAATTATAATTCATTGAAATAATGAATTGTAGCAATAACTAATATTGCTGTTATGTTTGTTTATTCAATAGTATTTCTTTTTTAAATTAGATTAATATACAAATAAAATTATAAAATTAAACATTTCTCACAATATTTAGATAATTTAATACCTTATTCAGAACTTAAATACTTTAAATTTTTTAAGTTTATTATACTATTTCATACATTTACATTTAGATAATTAGATAAAGTATCTATTTGTTGATATATTGCATTATAATAGACTAATTTTTAATTTGTAAAGTAGTATATGTATTTAAATATTTTTATATTGAATTAAATGAAAATTATTTTTATTTTGATAAAAACTGATTTTAATTTTTTATTAGGCCATTTATAAATATGAAAAATAACATTAATTCTTCATCTCAACCATTACAAACAGTATTACCTAATGTGGAGTTATCTAAAGAAATATCTAAAAACGATAAGAAGGTATGAAATTTATCTATACTAATATATAAAACAAGAATATTTGTTTGTTTGTTTGTTTGCTGGAGTAATCTCAGAATCTGCTGAATCAATTTTTAAAATTCTTTCAGTATTGGAAAGCTTATTTTTTCCATATGAACAAAGGCATATACTGTTTTCATATTAAAAAAGATGTTTTTACTGCAGCATTTGTCTTGCATAGTTTTATCATCAGTTGTAGCTCCATTAAAGGACAATCCCCTTTATCATCTAGTGGGACTTTTTAAGTTTTATCATCTTATCTATTGAATATCAGTTTTGATTAATGCAGTTTAAGCAGTTATATATATACTTTGTTCATATTGTCTTGGTCATTTGTTTTTTATAATAATACTCTTATATTATCAGATACAACTATAAGGAGCAAATTTACTTCATTTAGATGAAACTAAGCTTCTGTATGTTAACCTGTAGTATTTTTGTTTTCTTTATTTTAATATTAATCCTACCATATTATTATTTAAAAATAAGAATTAGTCTTGTTATATATAAGGCAAGATTGTTTGTTTCTTACTTTAAGGTAATTTCAGAATATACTGAACCAATTGTTTTTAACTCTTTCTCCTTTGGAAAGCTTATTAATTTTCAAAACACATAGTTACCTTAAAACTCAGACTTCTCATTCCTTCTTACTGATTTCATCTCCCCTACAAACTCCAAACTCTTTGATTTCTATATATAAACAGAACCATATTACAGTGAGTCCAAACTCTTTGACCAGTCTGGACCAAATTCTGCATAGTTATTCTTTACAATCCTCCAAAAAATATATACTACTTTAAAACTCAGACCCTCATTCCTTCCATGATTTCATTCTCCACAAATATCAAAATCTTTTGACTGACTGACATCAAACTTTGCATAGTTACTCTCTGCCACCATGCAGGAAATATGTGCTACATTGTATCTTATCAGGGTTGCCAGATCTGAAGGTTAAAAAGTAGCGTGGTTGTGCTCCAAAAGTAGCGGATTTGAACTGTTTGTAGCCCAAACAATAAAAAAGAATTATTTTGCAACTATGCACTTTTACTAATGAAATAAGTTTGTAATATATGTATATACATACACAGTGTATATCAGAATGACGTTTTAAAAATTTGGGGATTGTAGAGGATGAAATTTTGAACGTTTTGATATAAGGAACCTACAGCCGGAAATGAGATACGTATAAAGTTTCTACAGCACTTTGCACGTTCTACGAGGTCGGTATGCTGAACGAAACAGCAGAATGCAGTATTTATGACAAGTTTTATTGACAAAACAGTAGCTTACAATCAAATTGTACATCGAATCAGTGGCTGCACTACTTTAGAGTAAATGTTCAGTGTGACGACCACCAACTTCGTTACATAATGTGCAACGACGAACCATGTTTTGTCCGACTCTCTGTAAGATGCCACGCTCCCCTCTGATGGTATTAAGTGCTGTAAAGATGCGCTCCGTAAGCTTATGAACTGTTCCTACTGGTGTTGCGTACACAAGGGACTCACGTTGACTAGCTGTGTGTTTACATCACAACGCCAGTGGATGCAAGGGGTAACCTGAAGAACGACAAGCACTGAGTACACAACGTCCTGTACACAGGCTCAGTTAGACCACTGTAGTTGTGTGTTTACAGTCTTTCATCCGCAGCAATAACATGACGTCAATGGATGGAAGGGTAACTACCAAAGTGAAGGGCGGTCAAGCACTTCCTACCGCTGTAGATACTTTAGTTCAAATTTCCAACTATAGGTTCCTTATACCAAAACGTTCAAAATTTCATCCTTTACAATCCCCCAAATTTTTAAAACGTCATTCTGATACACCCTGTATATGGACATTCGGTGTATCTGCATCAATTTTCTCTAAATCAAAGCGAGTCATTCGCAGGCGAAGCGATTCATTTTTTGAACTTAGAGACTTAGCGACTGCGGCTTTTCTTTTCAGTTTTAAGGCCATCCTTTTCCATTGTATCAAGAACTGTTGTATCAAAATTTAATAACTTTTGGATCACTTATTGGGAGAGAAAATTGGCAATTCCAACAGCATAATGCTTGTAGTAGACAATCCACAATTTCACAAGCAATGTCGCCTCCGTGCTTGTGAAGTTGTGGATTGTCTACTGGAGCGAACGACTGATGGAAAACGGAAGCAAAGTATCTTAATCTTTGTTAAACGTTGCAACTTTATTTATATACTTAAGTGTAATGAAATTAAATAAAACTTTATTACTTTTGTATAATACAATAAGCGTTTTGCGATTTTATATATGAAAATAAAAAAGTAGCGTATTTTTAAGATTTGTAGCCTGAAGATAATTATCACTAGCCCAAAAAGTAGCGTGTCGCCCAATTTGAAATTTTTGTAGCGAGGGCACTTAAAAAGTAGCCCAATCCGCTACTTGTAGCCCAATCTGGCATCACTGTATCTTATAACAAGGACTGCAAACCATCTCCTTGAGTTCCCAGGCAACACTGGCATTCTTTTGCTAATAAATAAATAATTTGAATTCTCTGAGATATACTTAAGAGGACCATTCTAAGCTATAATTTTAAAACGTGTATTTATGCACTTTTTGACTATTTATAACCAAAAAATACAATTTGGTTATTAACAAATAATTGGTAATCTTAAAATCGTATTTAGTTCATTTGAAGAATAATTATTGTTGGTAAATGTTTCTAAAGCTTCTGTGCTTTACTTTAGATGATTATTTTGTAAAATTTCATTCTATTTTATTATCATTATTATTGTTCAAATCTGAATACAGTTGAAAAGGAACTATACACACTCTTTTCAAAATGTTGTAAATTTAACATTAAAGTTTTTCAAATGTTAATGGTTTTTGTTATGATTACATTAAATGTATTAACTTATTTAACATTTTAAAAAATCCAGCAACAAGTGGCTTAATTTTTCTGGCAAATTTGGTTGTGCCATCTGTTATGATATTTTATTTTAAAAAACTTTTTACATTTTTAATTATTATAAAATGGCAAAATGCTTAATTTTGAGGGTAGGAATGAGTTTAATTACTAAATTAATTAATTACTAAATAATTTTTCACTAGAGGGAGGCTTTAGGTGCCATCTTGTATTAAATTTAACAATTATAATCAGACTAATAAAGCAAGTTACATCGGGAAACTGGAAATAATGTTTCTCAATGTAGTTAGCCTGAGTGAGCAGTTTGAGCAGTAATATGTCACAAATAAAAGATTGTAAGTGATTTATTGTTGAGAAAAGAAAAATATATGATGAAAAGTACAGATAAAAAAATAAAGTGTACAGTAGAGCATCGATTATCCGACTCCCAATTAACTGTCACATCGGTTAACCGACCGTTCTAGTCGGCAAATTTCAAATATCCGCTAGTGATGTGGTACTACAATATTTGGCTATGTCTTGGCTACTTTAATAATATTTTTGTTAAATTTTTGCGTGCTTTAGCTGACAACACTGGCTCGACCATGAAAGGGAGGCCAGTATTTAAACGAGACTTAATTTTCTAATTATGAGTGGTTGTTTGTTTTGTGAGCAATAAAATAATTTAAAAATAATTTTTAACGATATAATAGCGACAATTATTATTTAAAAAAAAATTTTATTAGGCTTAACATCGATGAAAATTCAACGCGAAGTAGGTTAACGATATACTAATATACTAATTACATTTAACTAATTAATAGCAATATACTAATATACTAATTGCATGGGATATACTAATATACTATACTAATAATGTATTTTTTTCATTCTTTTCGATTATCCAATTTTTTCAGTTATCCGACCAACCTGAGTCCCCAATTGAGTCGGATAATCTGCTGTAATACTAAAAAATAATAAAATAAAATCTCACATTTACATATAATAAAATTTCACATTTAAGCAGGAAAAGCCTTTGATAAATTGGAGCCGCTTGTTAAAATCAACCACATTTGAGATTGTGTTCTGTCTCAACTGAGTGAACTATGTCTCCCTCAATCTTTGACAATCCTGGACAGATCCAATTTTGTGTTCCAGTTCCAGAAGATTCCAGAACAATGTCACTACCACAAACTGCTAGTGAGATATTCCAGAAAGTTCCAGAATGTTTTGATTGGAGAAAATTGTGGAAAATTCCCCTCTAATTAGAGCTAGTGAAAGACGCCATCTAGTGGGGATGAGACAGTACTACTGCCACTACAGCCACTGTAACAGTGAGAGCAAGAGTAGCACATAGGGCCGTCCTTTATGGCTCTCTTGCTTTATATTCCAAAAAACAGCACCCAAAAATGTCAAAATACTTTTTTGTTATTAAGCATCAAAGAGGCAAAAGTCAACATATTCGTTTTTTGATTATATCTTATCTCAGAGTTAATTATATTTTCCAGAAATTATTTTATGCATGTGCTGGGATTTCATGGAAATTTTTTTTTTTTAAACTCTGAAATGAAACTGCAAAAGTCATCCCAGAAGCCTGAACTCACTTACCGCTCATCCACGCAATTAATATTTATTAAAATAATTTATAATTGGAAAAGTAACATAATGTACCAGTAGTTGTTTGGCTTTACAGATTATGATTTGTAAATAAAATAAAAAGAAAAACTAATTTCAATTCAGATGTCAAAATATTTATTAAGATGTAAAATCTTTAATAATTAAATTAATTAATAAACAGTAAAGACAGCATAGCTTCGACAAATTATTAAAGTTGGTTTAATTAATAACTAAGATATTTGTGATTATAATTTTACATCATGTACTATTATATATTTAATTTTCAGTCTTTCATTGATTATGCTCATTTGGTCTATGGCTATGCCTTCCCTTTTGGAAAACTTTGATAGGGATCTTAATAAAATTTACTTAGATTTTAATAAATTATGCAACTTACATTATATTCAGAATCCTAGCTTTCCAAGGATTAGATTAAGTTTTACTTAATTTTTTGATTGTGTCAAATATTTTGATTGCTTACTTTATTTAAAATTTTTTAATTGATTTATTTTTTATGATCAATTGTTTTTACATGTCCCTTTGAAAAAACCTATGTCTTTCATCTTGTGTTCACTCCATATTTTCATTTGAGAGAATCTCAAAGGTCTTTTTTTCATCATAATTCTCAAAATTTAAATAATTTTGATAATTTTTTCTTAATTTTTCATGTTTTAAGTTAAAATGTAAAACTGTGTTATACAGTTTTTAATTTTGTATAATTGTTGTCTTTGTTTTTATGTATATTTGTTAATTTTGTGGGGTAGATATCAACTGTCCTTCAGGTCTTTTCTATTTATTTGTAAAAATAAATAAATAAATTTATGAGAGCTTATTTTAATGGAATAAAATTATTTTCAGAAAAATGAACAAACAGAAAAATGTGAATTACAGTTAACAATAGGTGGTGATTCTGTAGAAGATAAAACATCAAGAGCTAAAAATAAAAAAGATAATAATATAGCTGAAAAAGATAGAATNCAATCTCACCCATACGGACACGTTAGGCTCAATTAATTTATGTTCTCCTACATTATAAGATGAAAGTAAAATAAAGTGTTTCATTGGGAGTTTTAATAATTATGAAAAAAAATACTATTTTACTTCTAAAGATGAAATAAAAAATAAACTAAAGTGCGATGAGTGATATTTACTTTCAGCAAGTCTCCGCTGTTAAATGATGCGCAAACACAATACATAGATATTACATGAAGTAACAAGTAGAGACTTGTAAAACATAGGTAATAATATGCAGCAAGAAACCTCAAAATTTCTCTCTTAGGCAAGTCTTCAAGATCCAACTTTTCGTATAATAAATAATGGAAAGAAAACCTGACATGGTAAATTATTATTGAAATGCGAGATTTCCCGGGATTTTCTCGTAGTGAATAAATGGCGAGAATCCCGGGAAAGAAACCCTAGTTTGAACCAATCTTGTTTGTTTTTCCACTAAATATTCCAATCACAAACAAAAAGAAATAACATTATTTTTTTAAAAAGTTGTTTTATTTCTTCTTTAGGAGTAACAGTTCATCAACAAATCCAAAGCCTATGCCTTTACACAGAGCTCATTTTGCATTTTCCTGTCCTATACTTCCTAGTCATACATCATTTATTACAAGGGCAACTCAAACTGATCCAATTGATTCAACTTTCAGCTCATTTAGGACTTCAAATGGTGAACATCTTTTTGAAAATCTCAGATCAAACAGTTATTGTAAAACTTTAAATAGAACAAATGCATTGAACACTGATAATAGAACTGTTGGAAATAGCATTCCTGATTACAAAGTGGCCTGTGCTGCTCAAAGTCTTAAAACATGTCTGCTTGCTGTGCCAAATGCAATTTGTTTCCAAGAAAGAATAGATTCACCAATCTCTCCTAGTTTCCCAAGAAACAGAAGTTTTAGTTTTGTAACTGCTATTAAAAAAGGGAATCCACATTTAATAGATGCAACAGATAGTTATTATTGTACAAATGTAGAAGAAAAATTTTCACAGTCTGCTACAGATTCTTTAACTAAAGATAATGTCCATTCTGAAGTGCCAAATATTTCTTATTGTAATTCATACAGTAATATTGGAAAAGAATATAGCCCACAAATAAAACCATGTCCAAATGAAGATAAGGAATATAATAGGTGAGAATATTGATTTTCTTTTATATCTTCTATAATAAAATACATGAGAGTCACTTTATAGCAACTCTTAATTTAGTAATGTGCCACAATATATTGACCAATAAGTAAGATTCTGAATGATCTCCCAAAAGTGTGAAGCTTGTTTACTATCAATATAATTTCTTTTCCCCTGTCTTTTTTTACCTTGTGACATCAAAGGAAACTAATGTTTATGAGCATGTGCCAACTGTGTCACCTCTTGATAGCTGATGTTTGTCGTCTTTGGAATGTTGAGAATGCCATCTAACCACTATTTTTGTGGTTTTCTTCTGGCTCTAAATCTACTGTCTTCTTGTGAAGGCAATATATTGTAAGATGTTCAATGCAAAAGGAGTTATAATAAAGCATGATATCCAAGGAACAACTTTTATTTCAGATTATTTACAGATACCAATCTTTATACATTTTCCAGGTTTCTCTGTGATAACAATACAAACAAATGAATTCTTTGCATAACTGATTCCGTTACAATTACCAATCCGATACTATTAACATACAATAATACGTATCCTATGATCGTGGATCAATTCTTAATCTACTTAAATACTAAATGAACGATAGATTTATTGATAGAAGGGAAAAGAAGAAGAATTGATAGGACAGGGGGTAACCAAATTCTCAGCAAATAACTTCGTGTGATTGCTCATTTCCAACTTCCACATCCTGATGGATGTTCTCTTCTGAACCCTTTCGTCTCTTCAAAAATATGATTTCTCTGAGGAAGATTTATCTCAAAGTCTGGCTTCTTATTTTCTCATAAGTCTCCTATTCTGAGGTCTGACTCACCAGCTCTGGTTGATCTTGAAAAACTCAGTCTTACTGGTACATGACTTGCTTCCTCCGTGTCTGGCCGAAGAATGTCCTCCTGAAACAAGGTTTTGCCCTCAGGGCTTCTTGTAGTCTATTGTTAACTTCCCACACCCTGTTGGGGAAGGGTTGGATCAGAATTTCTTAGAAGTATGGAAACAATAGAACAAAAAAAATGGACAGAGAGACAGGATTAAAAGAGATAAAATATGAAATTAAAATTATACAAAAAAAAATATGGCATACTGCCACAATATAACAAATCAACAATTGTCATTCTTAACAAGACAAATATGTAGAATTCTGTTATTGTAAATTAATCTTCAAGCTTTCCAAGTTTTGATTCTTTTTTTTACATTCCAATTCTAGTTTTCTTTTGTTTCATTTCTTTGATAGTTATCATTATCATTTTGTGATTTATATTTGTTAATTCATTTGGAATCACAGGCTTTCTTTGGTTTTGAGCTATAATGTAATCTGTTTGACTCTTAATATTTAAGTTGTGCTACCTTGTACCACATATGTATTTGAGAATTCCTGTGCTTGAAGAATGTATTAATTATGAAAAGATCATTGACACAAAGCTTTAATCTAACTTTTGATGATCTAATGTTGTTAACTTGTTTCTAACTGTTGACATTTGGTAGAATTAAATTGTTTGAATTATAAAAAAAATTTGTGTGTGTTTTAAATTTACAAAATTTAAGAAAATTCTTAAAGGAGACAATACATAAAAGTGTCTTCTCATTTGTCCTTTTGCACATGCACAAAGAAAATAACAGTTTTAAGTTGACCTTTCATTTGAGGCTACTTATCTTTCTCAATATGTAAAACATTAAAATAATAGAATAATTTTGTTACATATAAAAAAATACTAAAATTGCAAAGTTTAAATCTATGTTATGTAATTCCAGTGCCCAGTATCTTATCCACTTGGCTAATGCCATTACAAGGAGAAGTGAAACTAATAGACTTAAAAGCTTAACACTCAATTTTCAGAAGTGCTTGAGAAATGGGTCTTATTATTTGGACAAGGAGCTGTTTGGATTTAGGTCTACATGCTCACCAAGTTTCATTCAAATCAAGAGATCCAAACATCAGGCCCTCTCTTTACATGATTTGCAAACTTTGCAAAAAATGTCCCAATTTATGGCATGTATGATGTTTCTTATTATAAGCAATACATGAACCATGGTAGTATGTACTTCCACATCTCAAACATATGGATTTATGGTCATATGCATTGTTTCTATTTATCATTTGAACATTTTTAGGCTTTTTGCCTTTAAGTTCTTGCTTACATTTTACAGTTTTAGTAACTTGCTCTTCATAGTGATTAACTGATTTTGAGTTTGTTCACTTGCTCTGCATATTTTAACAGCTTTTGCCAGCATTAAATTTTCCTCAGCAAGGAGTTTTTTCTATCAACATCACTTAAGACATGAGTACTATTCTGTCTGTGACCAGGCTATCATACAAGGTACCAAATTTGTAAGTTTTACTCTTATTCAACAATGCAATTAAGAAATCATCAAACTTTTTGTTTTCATGTTGAACAATTTTGTTAAATACAAATTTTTCATATATGATGTTTACTTTGGCATGGAATAACCCATAAATACTCCTACTAATGTTTTCAAGGTATTCTTTTGTTCTTCTGAAAAAGTATTGAAAATACTGCTTCTTGGCCAATTTCAGACATAAATACAGCAATTTGTACCTTAGCTGGCTTCCTTTCTAGTTCTATAAGTATTGCATACTATAAAAACTGTTGTTATTGGTCTCTCCATGCTTTACTGGTGGTTTCACTTACTTGGGTTAACAGAACTGGCAGTCTTGGATTAATGTTTCTTTAACTAATGGTAACCTCCCAATCTTTGGTTATTTCAGAACCATTTTCCTTGGTTGACACCAAGTGATGTCTGCCATACTGTTATATCACTGGCAGTAATGAGTGATTCACTTATATAGAATTAAACATGCCAGAGTGTACAAAAAGCTGAATTTATATATTATATTATATAACATATTTATTTATGAACATGCCACAACTAAGAGCCATCTGGTTATATACATGACAAGAACTGATTTTTTCTTTTTTTTTTAAATTTTTGCACAACACAGGAAAAATTTCATACTTTCCATGCAAGAACTGTATTTTCACATCAGCAGAAAACAATAACACTAAATATTAAAATAACAGGATCACTGAATGTGAATCATTATCAACTTTATTTCATCTTTCTACAAAAATCTTATCTTGGATTTTTCACATTTCCAATGCCCTAAATAATTGAAGATCTCCAAACAGCAGTTAGGCTGAAAATTCTGAATATAGTGAATCTCTGTGAGTTTTTTATATATTACTGGGATAGCAGTTTTAAGGTACTCTGGTGCACTACTTAACGTGCAGTCAGGCTACAACTGTAATAATTTACATACTTGTCCAAGACATAGCTATATGTATTAATTATACAATTCTATTTGGATGTATAACTGTTTATCAATGAGTGTATTAATAGTAGTATTAATGTTTTGAATTAATTATAATTCATTGAAATAATGAATTGTAGCAATAACTAATATTGCTGTTATGTTTGTTTATTCAATAGTATTTCTTTTTTAAATTAGATTAATATACAAATAAAATTATAAAATTAAACATTTCTCACAATATTTAGATAATTTAATACCTTATTCAGAACTTAAATACTTTAAATTTTTTAAGTTTATTATACTATTTCATACATTTACATTTAGATAATTAGATAAAGTATCTATTTGTTGATATATTGCATTATAATAGACTAATTTTTAATTTGTAAAGTAGTATATGTATTTAAATATTTTTATATTGAATTAAATGAAAATTATTTTTATTTTGATAAAAACTGATTTTAATTTTTTATTAGGCCATTTATAAATATGAAAAATAACATTAATTCTTCATCTCAACCATTACAAACAGTATTACCTAATGTGGAGTTATCTAAAGAAATATCTAAAAACGATAAGAAGGTATGAAATTTATCTATACTAATATATAAAACAAGAATATTTGTTTGTTTGTTTGTTTGCTGGAGTAATCTCAGAATCTGCTGAATCAATTTTTAAAATTCTTTCAGTATTGGAAAGCTTATTTTTTCCATATGAACAAAGGCATATACTGTTTTCATATTAAAAAAGATGTTTTTACTGCAGCATTTGTCTTGCATAGTTTTATCATCAGTTGTAGCTCCATTAAAGGACAATCCCCTTTATCATCTAGTGGGACTTTTTAAGTTTTATCATCTTATCTATTGAATATCAGTTTTGATTAATGCAGTTTAAGCAGTTATATATATACTTTGTTCATATTGTCTTGGTCATTTGTTTTTTATAATAATACTCTTATATTATCAGATACAACTATAAGGAGCAAATTTACTTCATTTAGATGAAACTAAGCTTCTGTATGTTAACCTGTAGTATTTTTGTTTTCTTTATTTTAATATTAATCCTACCATATTATTATTTAAAAATAAGAATTAGTCTTGTTATATATAAGGCAAGATTGTTTGTTTCTTACTTTAAGGTAATTTCAGAATATACTGAACCAATTGTTTTTAACTCTTTCTCCTTTGGAAAGCTTATTAATTTTCAAAACACATAGTTACCTTAAAACTCAGACTTCTCATTCCTTCTTACTGATTTCATCTCCCCTACAAACTCCAAACTCTTTGATTTCTATATATAAACAGAACCATATTACAGTGAGTCCAAACTCTTTGACCAGTCTGGACCAAATTCTGCATAGTTATTCTTTACAATCCTCCAAAAAATATATACTACTTTAAAACTCAGACCCTCATTCCTTCCATGATTTCATTCTCCACAAATATCAAAATCTTTTGACTGACTGACATCAAACTTTGCATAGTTACTCTCTGCCACCATGCAGGAAATATGTGCTACATTGTATCTTATCAGGGTTGCCAGATCTGAAGGTTAAAAAGTAGCGTGGTTGTGCTCCAAAAGTAGCGGATTTGAACTGTTTGTAGCCCAAACAATAAAAAAGAATTATTTTGCAACTATGCACTTTTACTAATGAAATAAGTTTGTAATATATGTATATACATACACAGTGTATATCAGAATGACGTTTTAAAAATTTGGGGATTGTAGAGGATGAAATTTTGAACGTTTTGATATAAGGAACCTACAGCCGGAAATGAGATACGTATAAAGTTTCTACAGCACTTTGCACGTTCTACGAGGTCGGTATGCTGAACGAAACAGCAGAATGCAGTATTTATGACAAGTTTTATTGACAAAACAGTAGCTTACAATCAAATTGTACATCGAATCAGTGGCTGCACTACTTTAGAGTAAATGTTCAGTGTGACGACCACCAACTTCGTTACATAATGTGCAACGACGAACCATGTTTTGTCCGACTCTCTGTAAGATGCCACGCTCCCCTCTGATGGTATTAAGTGCTGTAAAGATGCGCTCCGTAAGCTTATGAACTGTTCCTACTGGTGTTGCGTACACAAGGGACTCACGTTGACTAGCTGTGTGTTTACATCACAACGCCAGTGGATGCAAGGGGTAACCTGAAGAACGACAAGCACTGAGTACACAACGTCCTGTACACAGGCTCAGTTAGACCACTGTAGTTGTGTGTTTACAGTCTTTCATCCGCAGCAATAACATGACGTCAATGGATGGAAGGGTAACTACCAAAGTGAAGGGCGGTCAAGCACTTCCTACCGCTGTAGATACTTTAGTTCAAATTTCCAACTATAGGTTCCTTATACCAAAACGTTCAAAATTTCATCCTTTACAATCCCCCAAATTTTTAAAACGTCATTCTGATACACCCTGTATATGGACATTCGGTGTATCTGCATCAATTTTCTCTAAATCAAAGCGAGTCATTCGCAGGCGANATGAAAGGGAGGCCAGTATTTAAACGAGACTTAATTTTCTAATTATGAGTGGTTGTTTGTTTTGTGAGCAATAAAATAATTTAAAAATAATTTTTAACGATATAATAGCGACAATTATTATTTAAAAAAAAATTTTATTAGGCTTAACATCGATGAAAATTCAACGCGAAGTAGGTTAACGATATACTAATATACTAATTACATTTAACTAATTAATAGCAATATACTAATATACTAATTGCATGGGATATACTAATATACTATACTAATAATGTATTTTTTTCATTCTTTTCGATTATCCAATTTTTTCAGTTATCCGACCAACCTGAGTCCCCAATTGAGTCGGATAATCTGCTGTAATACTAAAAAATAATAAAATAAAATCTCACATTTACATATAATAAAATTTCACATTTAAGCAGGAAAAGCCTTTGATAAATTGGAGCCGCTTGTTAAAATCAACCACATTTGAGATTGTGTTCTGTCTCAACTGAGTGAACTATGTCTCCCTCAATCTTTGACAATCCTGGACAGATCCAATTTTGTGTTCCAGTTCCAGAAGATTCCAGAACAATGTCACTACCACAAACTGCTAGTGAGATATTCCAGAAAGTTCCAGAATGTTTTGATTGGAGAAAATTGTGGAAAATTCCCCTCTAATTAGAGCTAGTGAAAGACGCCATCTAGTGGGGATGAGACAGTACTACTGCCACTACAGCCACTGTAACAGTGAGAGCAAGAGTAGCACATAGGGCCGTCCTTTATGGCTCTCTTGCTTTATATTCCAAAAAACAGCACCCAAAAATGTCAAAATACTTTTTTGTTATTAAGCATCAAAGAGGCAAAAGTCAACATATTCGTTTTTTGATTATATCTTATCTCAGAGTTAATTATATTTTCCAGAAATTATTTTATGCATGTGCTGGGATTTCATGGAAATTTTTTTTTTTAAATTCTGAAATGAAACTGCAAAAGTCATCCCAGAAGCCTGAACTCACTTACCGCTCATCCATGCAATTAATATTTATTAAAATAATTTATAATTGGAAAAGTAACATAATGTACCAGTAGTTGTTTGGCTTTACAGATTATGATTTGTAAATAAAATAAAAAGAAAAACTAATTTCAATTCAGATGTCAAAATATTTATTAAGATGTAAAATCTTTAATAATTAAATTAATTAATAAACAGTAAAGACAGCATAGCTTCGACAAATTATTAAAGTTGGTTTAATTAATAACTAAGATATTTGTGATTATAATTTTACATCATGTACTATTATATATTTAATTTTCAGTCTTTCATTGATTATGCTCATTTGGTCTATGGCTATGCCTTCCCTTTTGGAAAACTTTGATAGGGATCTTAATAAAATTTACTTAGATTTTAATAAATTATGCAACTTACATTATATTCAGAATCCTAGCTTTCCAAGGATTAGATTAAGTTTTACTTAATTTTTTGATTGTGTCAAATATTTTGATTGCTTACTTTATTTAAAATTTTTTAATTGATTTATTTTTTATGATCAATTGTTTTTACATGTCCCTTTGAAAAAACCTATGTCTTTCATCTTGTGTTCACTCCATATTTTCATTTGAGAGAATCTCAAAGGTCTTTTTTTCATCATAATTCTCAAAATTTAAATAATTTTGATAATTTTTTCTTAATTTTTCATGTTTTAAGTTAAAATGTAAAACTGTGTTATACAGTTTTTAATTTTGTATAATTGTTGTCTTTGTTTTTATGTATATTTGTTAATTTTGTGGGGTAGATATCAACTGTCCTTCAGGTCTTTTCTATTTATTTGTAAAAATAAATAAATAAATTTATGAGAGCTTATTTTAATGGAATAAAATTATTTTCAGAAAAATGAACAAACAGAAAAATGTGAATTACAGTTAACAATAGGTGGTGATTCTGTAGAAGATAAAACATCAAGAGCTAAAAATAAAAAAGATAATAATATAGCTGAAAAAGATAGAATAAGTAGAAATGTAAAAAGAAGATTTTCTGGATCAGGTATTTGTATATTTTAAGCATCAGTTGTATTTAGAATAGTATAACTTTGATTTTTTTTTGCAATGTATGTTTTCTAGAATTGAAAATGTTAAATTAGTTTAAAATGAAAAGATAACTTTATGTTGTTATTGTTTTTCCTTTTGTTCAGTTTTCTAATAAATGCTCAGTTTTTCATGATTGTTTTAATACTCTCAGTTGCTAGTGTTTTGTTTTTTTTAATCAAAATTTTAATACAATCTGGTTTTAATTTAATATTTTGAAAGATTTATCTATTATGTAATTCTGTAAAGGTTGAAGTAGCCTTTTTCTAGAAGGTTATATTAATGGGACAATGAAAACAACAATGATGATTGATAATTGATGGCAAGGACAATGATAACTCTCCCTTATTAGTCACTAGCTTGTTAAATGAGTAATCTTTTCTAATGTAATTTTAATGAATCGTTGCACCACATTTTAACTGATCCTATAATAGTAACAACAAATTTTTTATAAAACCAAACAACTTTTTTGTACAGTAGATCCCCCTATAATGCGTAGATACATTCCACGCTATACGAATTTCACGTTGTAGGAATCCTTAAATACATGTGCCAATCGCAGCTCGACACGTGTGAAGTTTACGACTACGGCTGTTTGAAAGGTTTTCTTCCATAAAATTAATCAATTCTAGATTAATTCGACTCAACATTTCCAAAACACATATAATTTTTTGGGAATAATCCATATAAACTATGCTATAAACAAAAAATTGTAGGATTACTTACCAAGTGTGCACCGTTGGACGTCGCCATTGCTCAAGCTTGTTTTCGTCGCGCAGCAGTGCACCAAACGGCAGGCGATTTCTGATAAGTTATTTTTCTGCGAAAAATTTGTTGAACTTTGAAGACATCATTAATAGAAATAATATTAATGGCCATTGAATAAGAAATATTTCTTTCACAAGAAATGTATAAAATTACAATACTGTATTAGACTTACAGTACGTAATTTACATACTGTACAGACGATAGTAAACTCAATTTACCCGCCTAAACTCTCCTTAGCGTGGCGCTGGACGGCGGAAAGTAGTTTGGCTGCTCGTCCACTATTGGTCCAGATTCGACCAATCCTGTCGCGATGACGTTTTACAAGTCCCTTTTAGCATCTTTATACGAATACTGTTGCAATTTTTTCGCCACGTTATAGGAATCTCCGTTATAGGAACCCGCATTATAGGGGGGTCTACTGTATGTTAAATAATACTCATTAATTTTCATATTTTTATTTAAAGGCATATAATTTTTATATGCATTTTATTAATTTACTTTATTTGTCTGTCCATTCATCTGTCCAGATAAAGTAATTCAGTTTTCACCCATGTCCAATTTCTGATCTAGTTGAAATTTTCATACATATGTATTCCTGATGACAATACACTTTTTTTAGACTTTGCAAACAGTTTTAGCAATTAGCAACAAATTAGGGAAAATTGAAATTTGTAAGTAAAATCTGATAACAGATGCCCCTTTTTAGTCTCACAGTCTAGATAAAACCATATAACTCAATTTTATCTACTTTCCAATAAAATATTAAATCAAGACAAATTTTAATAATTCATGTTCCATTTATAAAACTAAAAAGTAGAAAATAAACATTATAAAAAAGTTTTAAAGGCATTTTATTCAATACTCAAAGAGCCATTTCGATCCATTTTCCACAGAAAAGAAAACACTGAGAGTCACAAAACCCTTTTGACATCTAAAATGAAGATAACATTTTATATATCCTTTTTACTTTTACACTATTCTTTTAAAAACTATTGTGTGTTGCATTTATGAAATAAATAAACTGCTAAAGAGAAATATTGATCATTACCTCAGAATGAAATTTGATTGAGATGGTGATGGAATATTCCATCTAAATCAAAAACATTTTATAACTGACAAACTAATAGAATTTGGACTCCAAGGTGCAAAAACCAGCAAGATTCCGCTTGATCCTGGATATTTCAAAATTAAAGAGAGGGGACCAAGAATGGTAACAAACTGTACCTCAAGGGTATAATTAGTTTACTGTACCTTGCAACTAACACACACCTAGATATATTGGCAGCAGTTTCCATCCTCACCCAATGTACTAAGAAACCAAGAACAGCTGACTGGAATGAGGTGAAGAGGATGTTTCAATATCTGAAGGGAACAGCTGATTGGAAGTTGAAATTGGGTGAGAAGAGCAATGCTAGAACCACACTAGAATGCTTTGTCAACTCAGATTGGGCAGGTGATAATACAGATCAAAAGTCGCATACAGGGATATGTCTTTAAATATCAAGACAGTCTTGAATCCTGGTACAGTAAAAAGCAAAGCAATGTGACACTGTTCTCGACTGAATCTGAGTATGTTGCACTTTGTGAATCCACCCAGGAGGCTGCTTGGCTGAAGCAAGTGTTTCTGGACCTTGGGAAATTGTCAATAAGAAAGTAACTGTGTACAAGGATAGTAACTGTGTACAAGGATAACCAAAGTTGTATGAAAGTATCAGAGAATGATTGTGTTAATCAACATATGAAGCATGTTGATGTCAAATATCATTTTGTAAGAAATGAAGTGAAGAATAGGAATGTATGTATTATGTTCTGCTCTACCAAGGAAATAGTAGCAGACATTTTAACAAAACCAGTGTATACTGGAAAACACATTAAATGTGCTAGACAACTTGGACTCTATGACTGTAAGCAAAATGGGACAAATCAATGAGGGGGGGAGTGTTAAATTTCTCTCCTGTCATTACCTATGTGTGTAGCAATGATTTGTGTTATATAACCTTTGTATTATTTTTCTAACAAACTGCCATGATGTGGCGTCTCTATCAAGCCCGCCACTTTTTGGTTCAATATGACTTTGAAACAGACCAAAGTAGTCATGTGTGATTTTAAACTTACTTGTAAGGTATCCTACTCACTATCTGTGAACACATAACTTGCAACAGTGATATATTTAACAACTCTATTTGTGATTCTGAGCAAGAATGACCTCTGACAGGTAACATCTTCAAGATCAGCTGTTATGCGTTTGAACTTGGACACCCATATATCTTTGTCAGCTATATCAGCCAGTTCCATCTCAAGGTTAGGTTGACTTACTCCTGCAAATGCAGTCATAGTCAATAGGGATGGATTGATGGTCAGAGGAGTGACAGGAAAGGATACTGTGTTCTTTTCTTTTCTGAATTCACAGAATCGTTTCCCAAAAGATGAGTTTGCATTGTGGTGATTGCAAACTGCAAATACTCCAGATTTTTTAAACCATGATCTTGTTTGAACACTCTCAAAGAGGAAAAGTGAGACAGTGAGCCTGTATGTAAATCTCTGGCAAACACTTCCAACTTGTGCTTGAATGCCAAAACCTCCTCCAGCATGTATGAAGGGCCAAGAGGGGAAAAAAATTTCAAAACAAATAATGATTTTAAGAGCTATTGTTATCATCTCCATTGCCATCTGGACTGCCGAGTGGTAACGATCAACGACATGTGGGAGTGGTTGAGTCAGAGATTAATGCCTCATTTACAAACAACACAGCCCATTTATTAGACAAATAAAGTACTATTGTCACAAAGGGAAATTGTTACAAAGTCTGTGTAGATTTTGATGCCTAGTCTTCAAAGAAGAAGAGGAAAGCAATGATGGTGGTTTCCTATCGCTGCCAGATGTTACATTCTAAGTCCAGTTCTTGAACAGGAAATGATGTCTGGTGAATGCAGATTGGAATTTCCTAAGGTTCTCTCAATGAAGGTTTATAACTTTTGGAGGGACATCAACAAAGGACAAAGATGGAACCTTGTGGAAAACACCCCACCAAGGGACATAGCTTCATGGAATGCCACAACAAAGAAGGAAGTGTCCTTGTGGCCTGGACTTAAATATCTTGTGGGCTCGCAAATCATTATTTTATTGGTTATTAATCCCCTCTCTAGGTCCCCTAATTGTTCTTTTTTTGTTACCAGGTGAAATTGGACCAGATTGGTTCCTGAGAAAGACGATTGTTTATTAATACAATTTGACATCGTCTTTTGTTCAGTGGTGAACAAACCTTGTACCTTATCTAACATTTCCTTTTTTGTTCATCTTGTCTTATAAAAAATTAAATTTACTAAATTTTTCTCCTTTTTTATCATGTGGTCTTAATATTTATTTTCCCCTTTTCATTTATAATTTAGTTCCCTTAATTTTAATTAATTGCAAAGATCAAGATTTGTTTTTATTTGGATATATCGTTAAAACAATGTTCTTCATCCCAGCCAGGCCTCACACATATGCAGCACTGTTCCTCCTTTCCTCTGAAGAGTTCAGTTCAGCATGTTCAGGTGTTCTGTCATATCTACCATGAACTGTAGCTTTTCCAGCCATTCAGGCTGTTTCAGTGCAGGAAAGGTGAACCCTTTACTGCCCAAGAAAGTTTTCACCTTTTCCAGACATGCAGAAAAGCCTTTCAGCACCTTCTCTCTGGTCAGCCACCAGACTTTATTATGCAACAATATATCAAAATGTGTGCTTTCCAGCTTGTCCAGTAACAAATGGAACTGATGGCAATTTAAGCTTTTTGCCATTATTTTATTGACAATCTGAATGACAAAATTCATTAATTCTGTGCATTCTGGAGGAAATGTTTGAGCACACAATGTCTCTTGGTGCAAGATGCAGTGAAATGTCAGAAGCTTTCCATCCAGAAACTTCTGCAATAAAGTCACAAAGTTCTTTTGCACTCCTGTCATACTCAGTGCCCCATCAGTAGCCACTGACACCAGGTGGGTGGTGTTTATTTCTCTGGCTCTCAAACAATCAAAGACAGCTTCACAGATGTTCTCTCCCATGTCTGGCCTTTCAGTGATATCNATTTTTTATTAGGCCATTTATAAATATGAAAAATAACATTAATTCTTCATCTCAACCATTACAAACAGTATTACCTAATGTGGAGTTATCTAAAGAAATATCTAAAAACGATAAGAAGGTATGAAATTTATCTATACTAATATATAAAACAAGAATATTTGTTTGTTTGTTTGTTTGCTGGAGTAATCTCAGAATCTGCTGAATCAATTTTTAAAATTCTTTCAGTATTGGAAAGCTTATTTTTTCCATATGAACAAAGGCATATACTGTTTTCATATTAAAAAAGATGTTTTTACTGCAGCATTTGTCTTGCATAGTTTTATCATCAGTTGTAGCTCCATTAAAGGACAATCCCCTTTATCATCTAGTGGGACTTTTTAAGTTTTATCATCTTATCTATTGAATATCAGTTTTGATTAATGCAGTTTAAGCAGTTATATATATACTTTGTTCATATTGTCTTGGTCATTTGTTTTTTATAATAATACTCTTATATTATCAGATACAACTATAAGGAGCAAATTTACTTCATTTAGATGAAACTAAGCTTCTGTATGTTAACCTGTAGTATTTTTGTTTTCTTTATTTTAATATTAATCCTACCATATTATTATTTAAAAATAAGAATTAGTCTTGTTATATATAAGGCAAGATTGTTTGTTTGTTTCTTACTTTAAGGTAATTTCAGAATATACTGAACCAATTGTTTTTAACTCTTTCTCCTTTGGAAAGCTTATTAATTTTCAAAACACATAGTTACCTTAAAACTCAGACTTCTCATTCCTTCTTACTGATTTCATCTCCCCTACAAACTCCAAACTCTTTGATTTCTATATATAAACAGAACCATATTACAGTGAGTCCAAACTCTTTGACCAGTCTGGACCAAATTCTGCATAGTTATTCTTTACAATCCTCCAAAAAATATATACTACTTTAAAACTCAGACCCTCATTCCTTCCATGATTTCATTCTCCACAAATATCAAAATCTTTTGACTGACTGACATCAAACTTTGCATAGTTACTCTCTGCCACCATGCAGGAAATATGTGCTACATTGTATCTTATAACAAGGACTGCAAACCATCTCCTTGAGTTCCCAGGCAACACTGGCATTCTTTTGCTAATAAATAAATAATTTGAATTCTCTGAGATATACTTAAGAGGACCATTCTAAGCTATAATTTTAAAACGTGTATTTATGCACTTTTTGACTATTTATAACCAAAAAATACAATTTGGTTATTAACAAATAATTGGTAATCTTAAAATCGTATTTAGTTCATTTGAAGAATAATTATTGTTGGTAAATGTTTCTAAAGCTTCTGTGCTTTACTTTAGATGATTATTTTGTAAAATTTCATTCTATTTTATTATCATTATTATTGTTCAAATCTGAATACAGTTGAAAAGGAACTATACACACTCTTTTCAAAATGTTGTAAATTTAACATTAAAGTTTTTCAAATGTTAATGGTTTTTGTTATGATTACATTAAATGTATTAACTTATTTAACATTTTTAAAAATCCAGCAACAAGTGGCTTAATTTTTCTGGCAAATTTGGTTGTGCCATCTGTTATGATATTTTATTTTAAAAAACTTTTTACATTTTTAATTATTATAAAATGGCAAAATGCTTAATTTTGAGGGTAGGAATGAGTTTAATTACTAAATTAATTAATTACTAAATAATTTTTCACTAGAGGGAGGCTTTAGGTGCCATCTTGTATTAAATTTAACAATTATAATCAGACTAATAAAGCAAGTTACATCGGGAAACTGGAAATGATGTTTCTCAATGTAGTTAGCCTGAGTGAGCAGTTTGAGCAGTAATATGTCACAAATAAAAGATTGTAAGTGATTTATTGTTGAGAAAAGAAAAATATATGATGAAAAGTACAGATAAAAAAATAAAGTGTACAGTAGAGCATCGATTATCCGACTCCCAATTAACTGTCACATCGGTTAACCGACCGTTCTAGTCGGCAAATTTCAAATATCCGCTAGTGATGTGGTACTACAATATTTGGCTATGTCTTGGCTACTTTAATAATATTTTTGTTAAATTTTTGCGTGCTTTAGCTGACAACACTGGCTCGACCATGAAAGGGAGGCCAGTATTTAAACGAGACTTAATTTTCTAATTATGAGTGGTTGTTTGTTTTGTGAGCAATAAAATAATTTAAAAATAATTTTTAACGATATAATAGCGACAATTATTATTTAAAAAAAAATTTTATTAGGCTTAACATCGTTGAAAATTCAACGCGAAGTAGGTTAACGATATACTAATATACTAATTACATTTAACTAATTAATAGCAATATACTAATATACTAATTGCATGGGATATACTAATATACTATACTAATAATGTATTTTTTTCATTCTTTTCGATTATCCAATTTTTTCAGTTATCCGACCAACCTGAGTCCCCAATTGAGTCGGATAATCTGCTGTAATACTAAAAAATAATAAAATAAAATCTCACATTTACATATAATAAAATTTCACATTTAAGCAGGAAAAGCCTTTGATAAATTGGAGCCGCTTGTTAAAATCAACCACATTTGAGATTGTGTTCTGTCTCAACTGAGTGAACTATGTCTCCCTCAATCTTTGACAATCCTGGACAGATCCAATTTTGTGTTCCAGTTCCAGAAGATTCCAGAACAATGTCACTACCACAAACTGCTAGTGAGATATTCCAGAAAGTTCCAGAATGTTTTGATTGGAGAAAATTGTGGAAAATTCCCCTCTAATTAGAGCTAGTGAAAGACGCCATCTAGTGGGGATGAGACAGTACTACTGCCACTACAGCCACTGTAACAGTGAGAGCAAGAGTAGCACATAGGGCCGTCCTTTATGGCTCTCTTGCTTTATATTCCAAAAAACAGCACCCAAAAATGTCAAAATACTTTTTTGTTATTAAGCATCAAAGAGGCAAAAGTCAACATATTCGTTTTTTGATTATATCTTATCTCAGAGTTAATTATATTTTCCAGAAATTATTTTATGCATGTGCTGGGATTTCATGGAAATTTTTTTTTTTAAATTCTGAAATGAAACTGCAAAAGTCATCCCAGAAGCCTGAACTCACTTACCGCTCATCCATGCAATTAATATTTATTAAAATAATTTATAATTGGAAAAGTAACATAATGTACCAGTAGTTGTTTGGCTTTACAGATTATGATTTGTAAATAAAATAAAAAGAAAAACTAATTTCAATTCAGATGTCAAAATATTTATTAAGATGTAAAATCTTTAATAATTAAATTAATTAATAAACAGTAAAGACAGCATAGCTTCGACAAATTATTAAAGTTGGTTTAATTAATAACTAAGATATTTGTGATTATAATTTTACATCATGTACTATTATATATTTAATTTTCAGTCTTTCATTGATTATGCTCATTTGGTCTATGGCTATGCCTTCCCTTTTGGAAAACTTTGATAGGGATCTTAATAAAATTTACTTAGATTTTAATAAATTATGCAACTTACATTATATTCAGAATCCTAGCTTTCCAAGGATTAGATTAAGTTTTACTTAATTTTTTGATTGTGTCAAATATTTTGATTGCTTACTTTATTTAAAATTTTTTAATTGATTTATTTTTTATGATCAATTGTTTTTACATGTCCCTTTGAAAAAACCTATGTCTTTCATCTTGTGTTCACTCCATATTTTCATTTGAGAGAATCTCAAAGGTCTTTTTTTCATCATAATTCTCAAAATTTAAATAATTTTGATAATTTTTTCTTAATTTTTCATGTTTTAAGTTAAAATGTAAAACTGTGTTATACAGTTTTTAATTTTGTATAATTGTTGTCTTTGTTTTTATGTATATTTGTTAATTTTGTGGGGTAGATATCAACTGTCCTTCAGGTCTTTTCTATTTATTTGTAAAAATAAATAAATAAATTTATGAGAGCTTATTTTAATGGAATAAAATTATTTTCAGAAAAATGAACAAACAGAAAAATGTGAATTACAGTTAACAATAGGTGGTGATTCTGTAGAAGATAAAACATCAAGAGCTAAAAATAAAAAAGATAATAATATAGCTGAAAAAGATAGAATAAGTAGAAATGTAAAAAGAAGATTTTCTGGATCAGGTATTTGTATATTTTAAGCATCAGTTGTATTTAGAATAGTATAACTTTGATTTTTTTTTGCAATGTATGTTTTCTAGAATTGAAAATGTTAAATTAGTTTAAAATGAAAAGATAACTTTATGTTGTTATTGTTTTTCCTTTTGTTCAGTTTTCTAATAAATGCTCAGTTTTTCATGATTGTTTTAATACTCTCAGTTGCTAGTGTTTTGTTTTTTTTAATCAAAATTTTAATACAATCTGGTTTTAATTTAATATTTTGAAAGATTTATCTATTATGTAATTCTGTAAAGGTTGAAGTAGCCTTTTTCTAGAAGGTTATATTAATGGGACAATGAAAACAACAATGATGATTGATAATTGATGGCAAGGACAATGATAACTCTCCCTTATTAGTCACTAGCTTGTTAAATGAGTAATCTTTTCTAATGTAATTTTAATGAATCGTTGCACCACATTTTAACTGATCCTATAATAGTAACAACAAATTTTTTATAAAACCAAACAACTTTTTTGTACAGTAGATCCCCCTATAATGCGTAGATACATTCCACGCTATACGAATTTCATGTTGTAGGAATCCTTAAATACATGTGCCAATCGCAGCTTGACACGTGTGAAGTTTACGACTACGGCTGTTTGAAAGGTTTTCTTCCATAAAATTAATCAATTCTAGATTAATTCGACTCAACATTTCCAAAACACATATAATTTTTTGGGAATAATCTATATAAACTATGCTATAAACAAAAAATTGTAGGATTACTTACCAAGTGTGCACCGTTGGACGTCGCCATTGCTCAAGCTTGTTTTCGTCGCGCAGCAGTGCACCAAACGGCAGGCGATTTCTGATAAGTTATTTTTCTGCGAAAAATTTGTTGAACTTTGAAGACATCATTAATAGAAATAATATTAATGGCCATTGAATAAGAAATATTTCTTTCACAAGAAATGTATAAAATTACAATACTGTATTAGACTTACAGTACGTAATTTACATACTGTACAGACGATAGTAAACTCAATTTACCCGCCTAAACTCTCCTTAGCGTGGCGCTGGACGGCGGAAAGTAGTTTGGCTGCTCGTCCACTATTGGTCCAGATTCGACCAATCCTGTCGCGATGACGTTTTACAAGTCCCTTTTAGCATCTTTATACGAATACTGTTGCAATTTTTTCGCCACGTTATAGGAATCTCCGTTATAGGAACCCGCATTATAGGGGGGTCTACTGTATGTTAAATAATACTCATTAATTTTCATATTTTTATTTAAAGGCATATAATTTTTATATGCATTTTATTAATTTACTTTATTTGTCTGTCCATTCATCTGTCCAGATAAAGTAATTCAGTTTTCACCCATGTCCAATTTCTGATCTAGTTGAAATTTTCATACATATGTATTCCTGATGACAATACACTTTTTTTAGACTTTGCAAACAGTTTTAGCAATTAGCAACAAATTAGGGAAAATTGAAATTTGTAAGTAAAATCTGATAACAGATGCCCCTTTTTAGTCTCACAGTCTAGATAAAACCATATAACTCAATTTTATCTACTTTCCAATAAAATATTAAATCAAGACAAATTTTAATAATTCATGTTCCATTTATAAAACTAAAAAGTAGAAAATAAACATTATAAAAAAGTTTTAAAGGCATTTTATTCAATACTCAAAGAGCCATTTCGATCCATTTTCCACAGAAAAGAAAACACTGAGAGTCACAAAACCCTTTTGACATCTAAAATGAAGATAACATTTTATATATCCTTTTTACTTTTACACTATTCTTTTAAAAACTATTGTGTGTTGCATTTATGAAATAAATAAACTGCTAAAGAGAAATATTGATCATTACCTCAGAATGAAATTTGATTGAGATGGTGATGGAATATTCCATCTAAATCAAAAACATTTTATAACTGACAAACTAATAGAATTTGGACTCCAAGGTGCAAAAACCAGCAAGATTCCGCTTGATCCTGGATATTTCAAAATTAAAGAGAGGGGACCAAGAATGGTAACAAACTGTACCTCAAGGGTATAATTAGTTTACTGTACCTTGCAACTAACACACACCTAGATATATTGGCAGCAGTTTCCATCCTCACCCAATGTACTAAGAAACCAAGAACAGCTGACTGGAATGAGGTGAAGAGGATGTTTCAATATCTGAAGGGAACAGCTGATTGGAAGTTGAAATTGGGTGAGAAGAGCAATGCTAGAACCACACTAGAATGCTTTGTCAACTCAGATTGGGCAGGTGATAATACAGATCAAAAGTCGCATACAGGGATATGTCTTTAAATATCAAGACAGTCTTGAATCCTGGTACAGTAAAAAGCAAAGCAATGTGACACTGTTCTCGACTGAATCTGAGTATGTTGCACTTTGTGAATCCACCCAGGAGGCTGCTTGGCTGAAGCAAGTGTTTCTGGACCTTGGGAAATTGTCAATAAGAAAGTAACTGTGTACAAGGATAGTAACTGTGTACAAGGATAACCAAAGTTGTATGAAAGTATCAGAGAATGATTGTGTTAATCAACATATGAAGCATGTTGATGTCAAATATCATTTTGTAAGAAATGAAGTGAAGAATAGGAATGTATGTATTATGTTCTGCTCTACCAAGGAAATAGTAGCAGACATTTTAACAAAACCAGTGTATACTGGAAAACACATTAAATGTGCTAGACAACTTGGACTCTATGACTGTAAGCAAAATGGGACAAATCATTGAGGGGGGAGTGTTAAATTTCTCTCCTGTCATTACCTATGTGTGTAGCAATGATTTGTGTTATATAACCTTTGTATTATTTTTCTAACAAACTGCCATGATGTGGCGTCTCTATCAAGCCCGCCACTTTTTGGTTCAATATGACTTTGAAACAGACCAAAGTAGTCATGTGTGATTTTAAACTTACTTGTAAGGTATCCTACTCACTATCTGTGAACACATAACTTGCAACAGTGATATATTTAACAACTCTATTTGTGATTCTGAGCAAGAATGACCTCTGACAGGTAACATCTTCAAGATCAGCTGTTATGCGTTTGAACTTGGACACCCATATATCTTTGTCAGCTATATCAGCCAGTTCCATCTCAAGGTTAGGTTGACTTACTCCTGCAAATGCAGTCATAGTCAATAGGGATGGATTGATGGTCAGAGGAGTGACAGGAAAGGATACTGTGTTCTTTTCTTTTCTGAATTCACAGAATCGTTTCCCAAAAGATGAGTTTGCATTGTGGTGATTGCAAACTGCAAATACTCCAGATTTTTTAAACCATGATCTTGTTTGAACACTCTCAAAGAGGAAAAGTGAGACAGTGAGCCTGTATGTAAATCTCTGGCAAACACTTCCAACTTGTGCTTGAATGCCAAAACCTCCTCCAGCATGTATGAAGGGCCAAGAGGGGAAAAAAATTTCAAAACAAATAATGATTTTAAGAGCTATTGTTATCATCTCCATTGCCATCTGGACTGCCGAGTGGTAACGATCAACGACATGTGGGAGTGGTTGAGTCAGAGATTAATGCCTCATTTACAAACAACACAGCCCATTTATTAGACAAATAAAGTACTATTGTCACAAAGGGAAATTGTTACAAAGTCTGTGTAGATTTTGATGCCTAGTCTTCAAAGAAGAAGAGGAAAGCAATGATGGTGGTTTCCTATCGCTGCCAGATGTTACATTCTAAGTCCAGTTCTTGAACAGGAAATGATGTCTGGTGAATGCAGATTGGAATTTCCTAAGGTTCTCTCAATGAAGGTTTATAACTTTTGGAGGGACATCAACAAAGGACAAAGATGGAACCTTGTGGAAAACACCCCACCAAGGGACATAGCTTCATGGAATGCCACAACAAAGAAGGAAGTGTCCTTGTGGCCTGGACTTAAATATCTTGTGGGCTCGCAAATCATTATTTTATTGGTTATTAATCCCCTCTCTAGGTCCCCTAATTGTTCTTTTTTTGTTACCAGGTGAAATTGGACCAGATTGGTTCCTGAGAAAGACGATTGTTTATTAATACAATTTGACATCGTCTTTTGTTCAGTGGTGAACAAACCTTGTACCTTATCTAACATTTCCTTTTTTGTTCATCTTGTCTTATAAAAAATTAAATTTACTAAATTTTTCTCCTTTTTTATCATGTGGTCTTAATATTTATTTTCCCCTTTTCATTTATAATTTAGTTCCCTTAATTTTAATTAATTGCAAAGATCAAGATTTGTTTTTATTTGGATATATCGTTAAAACAATGTTCTTCATCCCAGCCAGGCCTCACACATATGCAGCACTGTTCCTCCTTTCCTCTGAAGAGTTCAGTTCAGCATGTTCAGGTGTTCTGTCATATCTACCATGAACTGTAGCTTTTCCAGCCATTCAGGCTGTTTCAGTGCAGGAAAGGTGAACCCTTTACTGCCCAAGAAAGTTTTCACCTTTTCCAGACATGCAGAAAAGCCTTTCAGCACCTTCTCTCTGGTCAGCCACCAGACTTTATTATGCAACAATATATCAAAATGTGTGCTTTCCAGCTTGTCCAGTAACAAATGGAACTGATGGCAATTTAAGCTTTTTGCCATTATTTTATTGACAATCTGAATGACAAAATTCATTAATTCTGTGCATTCTGGAGGAAATGTTTGAGCACACAATGTCTCTTGGTGCAAGATGCAGTGAAATGTCAGAAGCTTTCCATCCAGAAACTTCTGCAATAAAGTCACAAAGTTCTTTTGCACTCCTGTCATACTCAGTGCCCCATCAGTAGCCACTGACACCAGGTGGGTGGTGTTTATTTCTCTGGCTCTCAACCAATCAAAGACAGCTTCACAGATGTTCTCTCCCATGTCTGGCCTTTCAGTGATATCAACTCAGTCATTTCTCTGTAGTGCAGTAGAGTTTACATATCAGCAGAATAGCATTTGCTCAATATTACCTTTGTCTTTGGACTCTTCACAGGTGATTGAGTACACCACAGCCGAATTGATGTCTTTTA